GTTAATAAAGAATACGTTTCTGTTCATTTCTGTTTCCATCCTCTTCTTTTGGAGGGGAGTCTGTCTGAAGGGGGGGAAGGGGCTTGGTCATTGGACAGGACAGTCACCTTTAGCAGGGGGCAGGTGCAGCAGCAGGGCACATATACAGTGCAGTGACTAGTTATCCTGGTCAGTCTGGGAGGTGGTTTTCATGTTCTGTGTGGTGGGGGGGGTGGTGTTGCTCTGTGACTTGGTGGCGTGGGAGGGCAGTTACAGATCTTATGCAGCGGTCCTTACCCTGGATCACAGAGCCGCGCAGCAGGGGATCTGTAACCCTCCTCCCCCTGCAAGACAGTCACATAGCCGACACATACACGCAGTCCCGGCCAGGAGAGCTGGCAGGCTCCGTTGAAACAACCAGTCCACCACCGCGGAGCCTGTCATTCCTGGAGTTTAGAAGCATCATTTGCATCACAACACTAAACCCGCCCCCCGCCACAGTCTGCGTCCCAGGTTTAAAACATTCCAGCGAAAACAGTAATAAAGACAATGGTGTCCATTAACAAAACAGAACAGATTTTATTTTTTGGGAAGGGGGTGAAGGGGGTATGTGATTGCAGAGGATAGTCGACGGCAACTGGGTAAAGAAACGGGGGCAAGTTCTGCTTCTGTGTCCACAAACTTAAAAGTCACTGGGTACCCTGCTCAGCCTTGAAACTGGCTTTCAAAGCCTCCCGGATGCACAGCGCGTCCCGCTGGGCTCTTCTAATCGCCCGGCTGTCTGGCTGGGCGTAATCAGCAGCCAGGCTATTTGCCTCAACCTCCCACCCCGCCATAAAGGTCTCCCCCTTGCTCTCACACAGATTGTGGAGCACACAGCAAGCTGCAATAACGATGGGGATATTGGTTTCGCTGAGATCACAGCGAGTCAGTAAGCTTCTCCATCTCCCCTTGAGACGGCCAAAAGCACACTCCACCACCATTCTGCACTTGCTCAGCCGGTAGTTGAAGAGTTCTTTTTCAGTGTCCAGGGCGCCAGTATAGGGCTTCATGAGCCAGGGCATTAGCGGGTAGGCTGGGTCCCCGAGGATCACTGTAGGCATCTCCACATCCCCAACAGTTATCTTGTGGTCCGGGAAGTAAATACCTTCCTGCAGCCGTCTAAACAGACCAGAGTTCCTGAACACGCGAGCGTCATGAACCTTGCCCGGCCATCCGACGTAGATGTTTGTAAACCGTCCCCGATGGTCCACCAGTGCTTGCAGCACCATTGAAAAGTAGCCCTTTCGGTTGATGTACTGGCTGGCCTGGTGGCCCGGTCCCAGGATAGGGATGTGAGTCCCATCTATAGCCCCACCGCAGTTTGGGAATCCCATCGCGGCGAAGCCATCTATGATGGCCTGCGCGTTTCCCAGGGTCACTACCTTTGACAGCAGTACCTTGACGATTGCCTTGGCTACTTGCAGGACAACAACCCCCACGGTAGATTTGCCCATGCCAAAGTGGTTCGCGACTGACCGGTAGCTGTCCGGCGTTGCAAGCTTCCAGAGGGCTATGGCCACTCGCTTCTGGACAGTCAGGGCTGCTCGCATGCGGGTGTCCTTGCGCTTCAGGGCAGGGGACAGCAAGTCACAAAGTTCAAGGAAAGTCCCCTTCCGCATGCGAAAGTTTCGCAGCCACTGGGATTCATCCCAGACCTGAAGCACTATGCGGTCCCACCAGTCCGTGCTTGTTTCCCGGGCCCAGAATCGCCGTTCAACAAAATCCACATGCCCCATTGCCACCGTGATGTCCTGGGCGCTGGGGCTCGTGGTTTCTGACAGCTCTGTGCTACTCTCCGACTTCAGGCCCTCACGGCGGTGCCGTAGCCTCCTCGCCTGATTTCTCTGCATCTGCCTCTGGGAAAGGTGTATGATAAGCTGCGAGGCGTTGAGAACGGCCACAACTGCAGCGATGGTCGCAGCGGGATCCATGATCGCAGTGCTGTGGCGTCCGCGCTGTCACTGATCTAAAAGTGCGCGAACTGATTTCCCGCCGGCGCTTTCAGGGAGGGAGGGAGGGCGGTAGTGACTGACGGATGACGACAGTTACCCAAAAGCACCCTCGCCACATTTTTTTACCCAGAAGGCATTGGGGGCTCGACCCAGAATTCCAATGGGCAGCGGGGACTGCGGGAACTGTGGGATAGCTGCCCACAGTGCACTGCTTCCAATGTCGACGCTTTCCCTGGTAGTGTGGACTGACAAAGTCGAATTACTGTCCTTAGTGTGGACACACACGTTCGACTTTCTAATATCGATTGCACATATTCGATTTAACTAAAATCGAACTACTCTCGTAGTGTAGACATACCCTCATCCTCCGCCATTCCCAAGTCAAGGGTCGTATATACTGACCCAATAGCATATCTTGAAAACTAGAGCCAATCAACAATTTTAAGCATCATTTTCGTTCTCAGTGACCCAGAATTAGTAAAGTTTGACTACATTTATTTCAGAAGCATTTTGGCTGTAGAGCAGTGTAATGAATCCTATTCCTTGCTATTTATGCTTCACTTTTCCATTTTGCCCTTTGAAAACTTTTGAATTCCAGAGGTTCACTCCAACCCTCAAAACTCAGACAATACACTGCTTTAGCTAACTCAGATATTGGGCTATTCCTACCATCCTGCACAGGTAGAAGAAACCTTCAAACTCCACCATCAACCAGCCTCTCCTAAAGGATGGAATTAGGGGACGGTGACAGGGGAGTTCACACTGACTTCTGGGTAATTAATCTTATTTTGCCAGCCTGTGAATTCTTTTCCCTATTCCCCCACACATCAAGTGAGCTCCAGTGAAGTGCCTCCACTTGCACCAAAAATGAAGTGCAAACTCTGCAGAAGCCCCTTCATCAAGCCAATGAGAAAGTCTGAAAGGTATGGGAGAAGCTCATGATATATTATGAATATATGTCATGTCCAGCTATTTGTTATTGCATCATTTGCTATAGGACTACCAGGATTAATTCCAGCAGGAGTTACTTGACACTGTGTCCACAGGAAAGGTGACCACAGCACAGCCAGGAGTTCCTTAGCAGACACTCAGGACTATTAACTATGATATGCTGCGTCCCTGCCTCTGGTGGGCTGCACAAACCAATTTGACCAGGTTCAAGAGATACAGGGAAACAAAGAACATTTAGGACTGATAAAAGGTCTGCCCCCTAAAGATGGTGTGAAAGCAGACTGAACCGCAGTCCCCAAAAGTGCGGGTGTCTGGATAAGCCTCCCTAATCTTTACACAAGACAAACATGCATGTAGATTGCTTAACAACATGCATGTTTTAATAACCCTTTGCTCTTGTTCTGCTTTGTTCCTGCTATGAAATTGAAAAATATGTTGTTTTGAAAGGACTGTTTTGTGTCACCATATCCACACACTGGTCACAGCTACTGAAAGGAAGGCTCCAGCACAGTCAGCCCTGCTGAAGAATCACAGTAAGTACCCCAGGATCTAGTCTGAAAGTGGGAGAATTGTGGGATTCCTCCTTCAAAGAGGTGAAGGTACGAGGCCTGTCACCGAGAGGAGATGTCCCCAACCAGGCTAGAGTAGGGTGACCAGACGTCCCGATTTTATCGGGACCGTCCCGATATTTCCTTGTTTGTCCCGTGTCCCGACCAATGTGCGGTCGGGACACTGGACAAACAATGAAATGCTCCGGAGCCCAGAAGTGCTCGCCTCCCCCCCCCGCCCCGACTCCGCCCCCTCCTCCCCCCATTGGCTCCCTCCCCGAATCCCCGACTCTTCCCCAGGCTCACCATTCCTCCTCCCTCCACAAGCGCTGGAGGGAGGCCCCGGAGACGCAGGGGGAGCGCGGGGCCGGGGTGAGTGAGAGTCCGGCCTGGCCCCAGTGCAGGCAGGACTCAGTCGGGCGGTAGGGAGAGTAGGGGGGCGGCCCGCGGGGCCAGGCAGCGGCTGTTCTCCCCCCCCGGGCAGCGGGACTCGGGAGCAGCCGCTGCTGCAGCTCCCACTGCCGCGGGGGGAGGTAGCGGCCGATGGCCAAGCTCGGCGGCTGCGGCTCTGGTGCCCGGGCCTGAACCCCCCGAGCCTGGGCCTGCTGCGGGGACCCAGCAGCGCGCACGCTGCGCCCAGCCCCTGGCCAGTCGCGTCTGGGCTGCTGCCCAGCTGGTGCAATCCCGCGGCGGCCCCGGAGTGGGGGCAGCAGGCCCCAGCCCCCCATCCCGCTCGGGTCCCGCAGGGGAATGAACGGGCC